GTACGGTATCTGTGACTGGACAAACGACCCAATGGAATGGCCAGAGGTGTCGTTTCCCGACATTTTTGTTACCTGATTGAGTCTATAGGCAAGAGACAGCTTACTACAAGCCTATACTTGACGGCTTGTGAAAGTAAACATTTGTCGTTTTGTTTTGCTTAATTTGAATAAAGTGATAAAGACTTGAGTAAAAGCCTCATACTTTTTTACTGATATATTAAAAAAGAATTTTAACATTGACAAAACAGGTAACATTAAGGTACACTGAAGCGCCTTGAAATGCGCAGTGTTATTCTATGTGGTGTGTGCTGTAAGCCTAATCATTTTCACAAATACATGCCGTAAAATAAAAAGATATAAAATAACATGAAAATATCCCTTACAAAAATTAACCGTGGTTACAACCAAAAAACATGGTTACTATAGTTAATCCATGGTAACCACAAATTAACCATGGTTTTGCTTCACTAACCAGGGCTGGAAATGAGGGGGAACGTGGGGGACGGAGTCCAGGGAGTGAATTTCGAGGGGTGACGACGTTCCAGCTCCAACTGGTTAGAATTTTTTGGAAATGAAAGGGATTTCTATGTTTTATTCATTCAATAGCCTACGCACATAAACGTAGCACAATATATAATAATAATAATTTTGGAATTACTCTTTTTGAACAGTCACTTGTACGGATGAATCAGCTGTTTGAACAAATCGACTGAATGAATGATTTAGTGACAAAGACACTGACTTGCCGCCACCTATTTAAATAATTTAATCTCTATATTCATAACTTTATATTTAAAACACAGGTCTTCAACCCTGTACCTGGGGACCCACTGTCCTGCAAAGTTTATTTCCAACCTGCTTCAGCACACCTGGCCAGCGACTTTTCAAGTAATACCTTGTAAGTCAAGTAAGATCTTGATTATCTGGTTCAGGTGTGTTTGATTAGGGTTGGAGCTGAACTCTGCAGGACAGTGGGTCCCCAGGAGCAGGGTTGAAGTCCTATGTTTTAAAACATTCATCACATAAAATTGTTATTATGAATTTAAATGTTTTCATGCTACCTCTGAGCCTCATTAAACAGTCTGTAAATATACCTAAATGCCACTTTTGTGTTCTTGTGTGCCACCTCTGTAGTGCAAAGATTTTTTTTTTAATATTGATTTAATTTGATTGGTAACTTATGCTTCCTGATTGTGTCTTCTTATACTAACTGAATGTATTGTTATAATAAAAAAAAGAGAAAGGTTTATAAATATAATTACACAGGGTGCCTTTGATCTTGATACCTAAAAATCCTATGGTTTAGAGGAAACATGAAATAAGTTTAATGTTATAACGGTTTTTATAATTAAATAAATCTGAAAGTTCGTCTAAAAGTTACCCCAACTTAGAGTTCCCCCAGTGAATTTTGGCCATTTCCACCACTGACACTAACCATAGTTTAACCATGGTATTTTTTAGTAAAACTATGGTTATACAAATGGTAGTCAAAATGCTAAAAAAAAAACGGGTTAATTTTCATAAGGGAAAACTATCAATTATTAATGTAAACAACTATTATCAATCAACTATTAATTAAATATATTTTACTGTCTTAATTGTTTACATTTATATAATGCATTATCTTCTTGTTGATCCACCAGTTCACATTTACAGCGTAAAACATGGGTTGATTTTCCCATTGGTCCGATCAAAAACAGTAACTCTACCAGCAGGAGGCGCTTTTTAAGCGGCAGAAATACATCGGTTTCCCCGGTAACAGTAGAACACAACTTTGAAACATGCAGCGCTCATGTTCATTTAAAGCAACAATACGTAGTTTTTCGACCTTAAAATAATGTCTCTAAAATGATTTCACGAATCAATATCGAACAGTCTACTTCATGTCTGAATGGTTATTCAAATAAAGAGGTTCTGTTACTTTACAGCCTTATAAACATATGACAATGTCCGATGTATAGGCTATTATGGACATTATGGCTACATGGTTATGCGGACAACATTTTATTCTATTATACGAATTACACCTTTTGCAAACAATGCTACATACGAACTATGCAAACAAAAAAAACTAACTTTGATCTGGCCTAAAAAAAACTTGTTTGATCTGGCCTACTAATATCCCATTCTTATTACATTGTATTATGGTCTTGATTATTACAAGTGTTCAGAATGTTTATCTGTCATTCCTTTTGGTTTAAAATTCGTATGTTTTATTATTTCTGTTTTATGTGTTTATGGTTTGATTTTAATGTACAGCACTTTGGTCAGTCTTGTGGCTGTTTTTAAATGTGCTTTATAAATAAATTAACTTGAACCTATCAACCACATGGAAGAACCGTGAGCAAAAGTTACATGGTGTTGCTTTAATAAATTCATAGCCTTTTCAAATTTAATCGTCACATTCAGCCATATCGCAATTCTTGTCTTTCTTGTACCCAAATTTAAAACCTCTTGAAATCATAATTAAGACTTTCTTGTTCCATTTAAGACTTTTTATGGCCTTAAATTTGATACAACTAAATTTAAGACTTTTTAAGGACCTGCGGAAGCCCTGAATAAGGAGATCATATAATCAACACTTATAATCAACACTTTTCACCATTAGTTCATCTTGGCAGCTGTTATAGTAAAAACACAGTAAAAGTTTTGAAGAGAGTTCCACATGTAATGCTCATTTCATATGCAAAGATGTTAGCCAATCACAGCAGTGGGCGTTTACGTTGAGTCTCACAGCAGACACGCCCCTTCCAACGTAGCGTTCAAATCGGAGGCTAAATTTAGAGTTGAAAACGACCATTTATATCTAAATCATGCCCATTTTTGTTTTAAAAAACATACTATTATTAAGCGCAATTATAAGCACACCTCGGGAAACATAAAATGATTTTAAAAATGCATTTCATAATCCCTTTAATGAAATTCACCATTGAGAATGAGAATAAATAAATAGCTTGGATGTACTGCAGTAATGAAATTATGAATTGAAAATGTTTAAATCCCATAATGAGGTGATGATTAAATGGAATGTTATTTTTTTCTCTTTTGAAATGTGATCGAGACAAGCTTTAACGGGATACACCCAAAAAAAACCTCATGACCAATGAACTTTGACACTGACCTGTTCTGGACATCAATCATGCGTTTGGCGAAAGCATAACCAAAATTAGACTCATGAGGCGGACCGTTGTGGATCTGAAACAGAGTGAGAGAGAAACACGGCTCATCATCTCTTTCAAATCATAAAACAATTGAAACTGATGATCTTGTTCAAATAAACTTGATCTACTGGTTTTCTAATGTTTTGAGTTTGTGTTTTGAAAGTTACAGTATTTTTTCACAAGAGAATGAATTATAAATAATCAAGGAAAATTTGCCCTTTAAGAGAACACTACACACAAACCATCCCAATATCTGCCTATTAAAATGCATGTGTGTGTGTGCACTGGTTTGGGTGGTTTATGAGGTCACAAATTTGTATAATGACATGGGAATGACACAGGAATTACAATGTGAAGGTGGTTTATGAGGACACTACCGGTGTCCCTGTAATTCAAAAGGCTTAAAAAAAAACAACATACTAAATGTTGTTTTTTTGAAAATCTAAAATTTTCCCACTGGTTAATCGACGTTTTATGGCCCCAGTAATACCGGTATCACCGTGGGGGCGGGGCGGGGCGTTCCCTCTTTTCCTTGCTTTCCTTTGCTTTTAAATAGCTTGTAAAAGCGCCGTGCGCATTTTACTTTCACTTTGAAATAGCGGCAATTCGGTGTAAAGCAATTGTTCGTTTTTAGTTCGTTTGAATTTTCCCTCTTTTCCTCGCTTTCCTTCACTTTTAAATAGCTTAAAAGTGGCGTGTGCGTTTTACTTTCACTTTGAAATAGCGAATTTTCGGTGTAAAGCAATTGTTCGTTTTTAGTTCGTTTGAATTTTCCCTTTTCCTCGCTTTCCGTCGCTTTTAAATAGCTTAAAAGCGCTGTGTGCAATTTACTTTCACTTTCGAATTAGCGGCAGTTAGGCGTTAATTGCTTGAAGGCAACAACAAAATACAACGTCAAACTCACTTTAGCCTATATATAAAACATAGAACTTTTATTAACAAAAAATCATCCGCGATCGTCTTGTCTGTCTCACCCCACTCTTCTTGTCAGTCAGCTTGACTCACTCTCCTCACTGGAGAAATTAAATCTGATCTGTGATGCGACTGTCGTTCGGCACGCTGCATTGAGCAGCCGCGTTCAGTTTTAAATTGTAGTGTCTGTTCTTTTACTGAACTAAATGTTATTTATTTCTATAAAAAATCAAAACGACGGTGGGGGTCGGTGACGCGGTGGGCAAGTGACGTAACCGGTGTTGCGGCTTAACACCGGTCGGTATCACCGTCAGCACTGTCTATCGCGGCAAGCCTAGTATGTGTGTGTGTGTGTGTGTGTGAGTGTGTGTGAATTTACCATGGTTTCATCTATAGGGTAGGTGGTTTTATCTGGAAAGATACACGTGGAAAGACAAGAAACGACCTTCACCACACCGAACTCATGAGCCGCCTGCAGCACGTTGTCATTGATAAACACATTATACCTCTGAAGACAACAAACAAATATGGTTACTATACAGTTGAATTATTCAACACTAATATATGTCCACCATTTTTATATTTCCATTGTTTTTTAATGTTAATAATTACCCAGAAGTCCAGGTTCTGTCTCATGTTTCTGAAGAGCCCGCCCACCATTGCGGCTAAATGAATGACGTGCGTCGGATGATGTTTCTCGAAGGCTGCTCTCGTCTCTTCAGCGCTCCTAAAGCAGCACGTGTAAATATATTTATCATGCATGGGACACAAATGGACAATAAGCATTGAATAAAAGATTTCTGTAATCCTAAGAAACTGAAATTCAGTCACGTGTGTCCAAACGTTGGACTGATGGCTTTATTACACGACAGTATGGCAATATGTCGTTGCGATAGTATGAAATGGCGGATTTTTCCATTTTTGTGTCCGCAATACGCAAATAAGCACAGGGCGAGATCAAGAAGCACAGAAAGATAAACACGCAGGTCAGGTAGGCGAAATGACGTTATAAAAAGTCTATCGAAATATATGTGTATATCCGCGCAGCGCAGGACTGCTTAAAATTTTGGCACGTTAAAGTGATCAATAAATGAATGGATGGATGAGAAAATATAAAGAGCGGGACGTGCTCGATTTTAAAAGGCAATGAGGCGCGAAAAAGAGCTCAGTAACGGTCACACCCAAAGAGCGCGAACAAGCGGTCTGTCAGTTAGCGCAAGGGAAACCAACTGCGTTATTTTCGCAACTTACTGCTCTTGATTGATTAAATACGCACAGAATTACGCCAAAATGGCCGTGTTGGTGAGTATCCACATAAAGACACGGTGCGTCCGACATCACGTACTGTCACTACATTTGAATTTGAATTTAGTTCAGACCGTTAAAAAAGTAAGTTGTACATTGAATATGGGGAGTATAAATGAAATTCGGACGTACAACATCCGCAATGTTGTTACCAGAGATAGATCAGAGGGTATGTATTAACTTGGATCACGTGTGCCTTAATAACAATCACATTACAGTCTTGATGTCATTGAATTTCAGTCAGAGTTGTGCGGCACTCAATCGCCGTTTACGGATACCATAGGAATGAACGAGAAGTGCCGTAAGCTGAATCCCACCTGTCGCAAAAAGTCTGTAACTTCTCTTTTCTTATTCATTTTTTGTAAAAAGTCTATAGGGTTACCAGCAACAAGTTCGAAATCAAATATTAGTGTCATTTAATGGTGGATCTGAAGCGGTTGTCAATCAAAACATTGATTTTGAAGATAATGAAAATGAGATTAAGGTATCAACAGTAAATATGCTTTATTTTATTACTTGTTATTACTTGTAATTACTATTATTTTATTACTCGTTATTAATTGGTATTAAAATATCAGGACAGTTTTATAATATTGGGGAAGTTTAGAGATCCATCCATGTTAGATACACATTCTGGGTTGATAAACACCCAAATATGTAATAATGATTGGCATTTAGAACTACAGTGAACTATGCTTATAATAAACAGAAAGTTGGTGTAAAGTTACAGTTATCGTTCTTGGGGTCAACAGGTCATTATTGTTATTACTTGCATAACATTCGCTTGCAAAACATCAAATACATGCTTTATAATGTGTGATAGTTTAATGATTGTGTTTTATAACTGTTGTGAGGTCTGATGAGTGTTTGTCCAGGAGCTCTTACATAAGATTGGCCTCTTTGGATGACAGGAATATCCATTCTTCTCCTTCTCTCTCTTCGCCCTCCTTTTTCACCACCCGCTCTATCGCTCGCCCCACCAGCCCACTGCCGCCCGTCACCAACACTCGCATTGGCCCGACCGACCCGTTCATCTGGCAGACAGAAAGAGAAGGTCTGATGATCATTTCAGGGGGTATATATATATGTGCTATCTATGCATCCATCTATACACTCTTACTGTGGTAACACCATGGTATTCATATTCACACATTCACATGATTATACTATCAATGTAAAGCCCATAAAAACATGGCATTACCACGGTTCTCCATAATATATTTAATGGCAATAGAGCTGCACTTCTTTGTTACTGTATTCTGTTTTTAAAACGGTGTCATGGTATTGTCATCTGATAAGTCAGATTTCCATTGATGTTCCATAGCAGCACAACAGTATTTTTCTAGGGGTATATATGATTTCTGTTCCTCCCTACAGCTCACAATGCACCGCATACAGCTGAATCTGTCCAAGGATATCAAGTTAAACACCAACACACCCTTAATTTCAATATGACAATGGATATCAGTTTGAGGTGTGCGGTTATGCAGTAGAGCATGACCACAAAACACACAAGAAATATACAAACACATGCTGGATTTGCATGCTTTAGAATCATATGTCACTTTCATCAATGAAAGATAAGGCCACCATGCATGAATGAAACCACTTAATACTCAATAAAATGAACTTTATAAACACTTCTGGATCTCAAATTGTGATAAACAGCCCTCGAAGTGTTTGAAACGAGCAGACCATCAAATGCATGAACGAGCGTGTATGAATTGTGTTCGTAATTGATGAAATCGAAGATTTACCTGCTCTCTGGTGTCACTGTAGTTAAAGTCCGTTTCTTGTGAACTCAGTTCACTCGGTGGCCATATTTTAATCGCCTCCGGGCCGCTGTTTTGCTCATGCAAAATCAACTCCTATCTGCTTGAATGGGGAAATACCGAAATGCCAAGAACTGTTTGCTAAGTTCATTTAAGTAACATATTTCTAATCAGCAATACAATCCGACATGCGCCGTCCGATATGTTGTTTCCTATGCTCAGATAGCGGTACAGGCGTAAATTTCCGGTTGGTCCGGTCAGTGCGCATGCGCACTGCTAAGCGTGATTCTCAGAACACTGGTTGTTTCTATGGAAACCCGAGCTTTTAAATGCAGCTGCGGTGACGCGTGTAATTAACCAGTTCGTGATTGGCTCTTACATGTAGAAGGCGGGACGTATTCCGATTTATCCCACGTTGCAGTTAATCTCATTCACAGTAATGCGTGTGAACCGTCTTTGTATATGGCAAGCCGTTTTAACATTTAATCTATAAACCGCATTAGTATCTAATTTAACGTTACTAGTACTTGTTTTTTAGATACTAGTATATTTTCCATTAACTACTAGTGCTTATTATTTAGGTACTATATTCTTTAGGTACTAGTGTCTTTTGTAAAGTTACTAGTACTTGTTCATTAGATACTAGTACGTAATCATTAGATACTAATACTTATTCATTAGATACTAGTGCTTATTTATTAGGTATACTAGTACTTGTCCATTAGATACTAGTACTTATTTTTTAGATACTAGTATTTATTCATTAGATACTAGTACTTATTCATTAGATACTATACTTATTTCAGTAGTGACTAGTAACTATTATATTGTTACTAGTAACAAATTTTACATTTTTGCCATTGACTTCTATGGGGATCCGTCATTGAGATATCAACTATTCAGTTTTGACTAGTATGTATTCCACTAGTGACTAGTACTTAATTTTTATGCACTAGTAGTTATTCATTAGGTACTAGTACATATTTTTTAGATACTAGTACTCATTCATTAGCTACTAGTACCTGTTAAATAGATACTAGCACGTATTCAGTAGATACTAGCACACATTTATTAGATAGTACTAATTCAAAATGTTACTAATAAGCAGGGTTGTGGACTCGAGTCACATGACTCGAGACTTGACTCGGACTCGAGTCCCAAATTTGATGACTTGCGACTCGACTCGACATAATTAAAGAAGACTTGAGACTCGACTTAAACTTTGACAGCAATGACTCGAGACTTGACTTGGACTTGCCTGTCTTGACTCGGGACTTGACTTGGGACTTGTCTGTCTTGACTCGGGACTTGACTCGAGAATTGAATGCAAAGACTCGAGACTTACTTGTGACTTGCAAAACAACGACTTGGTCACACCTCTGCTAATAAGATTTATGTATTTTACTAGTACATTTTTAAATTAAACTCTACTGTAGCCATTTGGACTTGTCATAACATAAGACGAGTAAAAAAGCAGATCTGAGTAGTAAGATAAGAATTGTTACTAGTAGTAATTACAAAAGATACTAGTGTCTAATAAATAAGTACTAGTATACTAGTACTTATTTATTAGACACTAGTATCTTTTGTAATATTTTGTATACCTAATGAATAACTACTAGTATCTATTAAATATGTACTAGTATCTAATGAATAAGTACCAGTATCTAAAAAATAAGTACTAGTATCTAATGAATGCTTACTAGTATTTAAATTGATACTAGTCACTATTGCAATAATTACTAGTCAGAAATTAAAAGATGATATCAAAAACAGAATAACTATGACTCCCTGTTCATTTGAAGATATTTTCAACCTCCTTAAGAACTAGTAAGAATGTATTTGGAGATATCTTCATTTAAACAGATCATTACATAAACACGAGTACCTCTCCACCGTCCAATCAGAGTCCACATGGTAATACAATAAATGAATATGCTGAATTAATTTGATTGTTAAGTAAGGCTAACTGGATTGTATGTTAGCCTATCTTGCTAATTGGTTC